AACTTATAAGAAAATTTTATGTTACTAATGTTTGATATAGATATTTTTTTAAATACGTACGCTATTACGTACTCAACTATATCATGGCACATGCATTGCACGTGCTTCTGACTAGTAACTGAAAAGAGAGAGTATATTTAAAGTAAATAAAGACAATATTAGAAATACTCCTCCGCATTTCCGACAATACTAGAGATACATCAAGTTTCAAAAATATCACCAACATTCCTTGTTTTATAATTGTGAGTATCATATACACTATCTATACTTTTATTGTGAAAATTAACAAATGCTAGGGACTTTTACTGCATTTTAAATGTGGTGCGTCAAACTAAAAAAACTCGTTGATAATATACCAAAGTTACGAATAAATAATTTATTTATTTAGAAAGTAAAATAAAGCTATTTTTGAAAAAAACTTTATTTATTTTATTGAGCTTAGCCATTAAACCAAAAGAGAGTCAAAGAAAGGCATCGATACGAACCTATTCGAAGCGACACACATCTCTGAGAAAAATATCTTTGCAAAATTTATGAGCACCTAGAATGAAACCTTGAATAGTAATTGCTAGAAGCATAATGAGATTTGAATTTGTGAGGATTGATCTAAGGAGGAACAAACATAGAAATGCCAAATATTAGTTTGGTATTAACATTAATTGTTCGATGAAAAAAAAAAAGAAAAAATATCGAACACCTAACAAAAATATTTTCCTAACGATAACTAATCCATTTTTAATAATTTTAGGGAATCGATGTAGGTCTTCATTGGAATTTTTTTAAATCACTTGTTTAACCTTGAAGAATTAATGATTATCTATTTTTATTTATTTCATTCCTTTCATTTCCACTTTATTTCCTCTTACTTATTAACCCATTAAAGAAACATAATGAAGAAAATGTAAATAATAGCACATTAGCCTATAATTATTTCTTTCTTAATTTAAATATTAGACAATCAAACTCAACATAAATGACACTTAGAATATACTTGTGTAATAATTTAAATAGGTGAGTGAGCAATGTGTAACTTTTTTTTTTTTTAATGAGCAATTAGTAACTTAGGGATAAATCTAATAAGCATTCGCTCGATAATTTAACGTTGTCAATGTGTTACGTTTGATTTTCGTCCAACATGTCGCGATTTTTGTCAAGTGAAAGTAATAGACTGTTTTATTATTTGAATGTGTGGTGGAGAATGTTATTGTAGAAAACAATGTTTTCAAATAAAGGGAGACAAACAAGCCCTTAACATAGGTGAATAATATGCAATTTTTTTTGTTAACCGAGTAAGTAGTAATTTAGGTATGAGTTTATTGATTATTTATTTAATTAACTCCTATTTATCATTAGTTTTATAGTTATCTTATATTAGCCTAACTAATGAATAACTTGGTGACTTTGGTAATCGATTATTTATATTTGAAAAACATTGGGGGCTCTTAATATAATATTAAGAGCTTGTTTGAGAGAGAGTTTAATCTAATTAAAATTAAAAATATAACTATTATTGGGTCTTACTTGTCTAATAAAAGTCAACAACAACGATTAATTTTTTTAATTTTAATCTGATTTTAATTTTTACCAAACAAAGCTCTAAAAATCAACAGTGGAGTGAGTATTAATAAGTAATTAGTATATAAAGCCGGCTGAGAGTGACGGAGTAAACGGCTCGATTAAATCGGCTGACCCTTCGTAGAACCCACATTTCAGTCCACTTTTATTTTATTCCCCAACTAAATTCAGCTTAAATTCATCCCAGATAAATTCCAAACCTAACTCAAATTCATCCACCTAATACAAATCCTATCTCCTTTTCTCCCCACCTCTAGCCAGCCGCCCCCTATCCACCTAATTCTTTTCTCTGAAACTCCATTTCCCACTTCTCTTTCCCCCAAATACCCAATATCTGATTTGGCAACAAATACATAATAGTTTGTTTTTGGGTTGCCTGTTTCTTGATTCAATTGTTGGTTCAGTCTATCTAATGATTTATTACTGACGCCCAAGTAGCAAAATACGATGAATCTATGGACAAGTAGCAGTACCACAAAAACAGCAGCGACAACAATTACGACTACAGACGATAACGCGTCGATGATGGAGGCCTTTATGTCATCTTCTTCCGATATGGGTTCTTTCTGGCCCGCCACATATGCTCCTAATCCTGCTGACCAATCGAAATCCTCGACGTCAGCGGCACAAATTTTCAATCAAGAAACGCTACAGCAGCGTCTGTCGGCGTTGATCGAGGGTGCCCATGAGAGCTGGACTTACGCGATTTTCTGGCAGTCCTCGATGGTTGACTACGGTGGTCCGTCCCTATTGGGCTGGGGAGATGGGTACTATAAAGGCGAAGAAAATAAAGGGAAGCGCAAGACGGCGGCGTCACCGGCGGAGCAAGAGAACAGAAAGAAAGTGCTGAGAGAGTTGAATTCGTTGATTTCGGACCCACAATCTTCGGCCGATGATGCTGTTGATGAAGAAGTGACTGATACGGAGTGGTTTTTTCTCATCTCCATGGCTCAGTCCTTTGTGAACGGGTCCGGGCTTCCAGGCCAGGCATTGTACAGCTCGAGTCCTATCTGGATCGCTGGGGCGGATAGGCTGGCTGCTTCTCACTGTGAGCGGGCCCGTCAGGCTCAGATCTTTGGACTTGAGACCATGGTTTGCATACCTTCTTCAAACGGCGTCGTGGAACTTGGTTCGACCGATATGATTTTCCAGAGTTCGGATCTCATGAACAAGGTTAGAGTTCTATTTAATTTCAATGGCATGGAAATGGGTTCGGCTGCTCCGGCCCCGGGCTCGGGCTCCCGCTCGGGCTCTTGGGCAGCCTTGGCGGAGAATGACCCGTCAGCTCTGTGGTTGACTGACCCTTCGTCCTCTGGTGTGGAAATAAAGGATTCTTTGAATAATAACATTGGACTGGGGAGTTCAATCCCTTCGGGTTCGGGTAGTGCTAGTAAACAAAGTTTGTTTGGCAATGAAAATCCTAGTACTAGTACTTTAACGGAGAATCCGCAGCAGCAGGAGCAGCAGCAGGCGCCGGGGTTTTTTGCTAGGGAGTTAAACTTTACCGAATATGGGTTCGATGGGGATAGTGTTAGGAATGTGACTTGTAAGCCGGAGACAGGTGATATTTTGCATTTTGGGGAGAGTACTAAAAGGAGTATGTGTGGTGGGAGTGGAAGTTTGTTTGGGATTCAGGAGCAGAATAATAAAAACAATAATGTTAGCAATAAGAATAAGAATAAGAAGACGTCCCCAACCTCGAGGGGGAGTAACGAGGAGGGCATGCTTTCGTTTACTTCGGGTGTGATTTTGTCATCTTCGGGTGCTGGGAAGACGAGTAACGGTGGTGGTGGGGAATTGGATCATTCAGATCTCGAGACATCTGTGGTTAAAGAGGCGGATAGTAGTAGAGTTGTTGACCCTGAGAAACGGCCTAGAAAAAGGGGTAGGAAGCCTGCAAATGGGAGGGAGGAGCCTTTAAATCACGTGGAGGCGGAGAGGCAAAGGAGGGAGAAGTTGAACCAGAAGTTTTATGCGCTTAGAGCTGTTGTACCGAACGTGTCCAAGATGGACAAGGCTTCACTTCTAGGAGATGCAATATCATATATTAATGAGTTGAAATCGAAGCTTCAGAATATAGAGTCAGTTAAGGAGGAATTGAAGGGCCAATTGGAGTCAGTAAAGAAGGAGTTGGTGAATAAAGAGCCTCGAGGTTCAGCTCCTCCATCCGAGCAAGATATCAAGAAGCCAAACCATGGTGGTAACAAGATTGTTGATGTTGACGTGGAAGTTAAGATCATTGGTTGGGATGCGATGATACGGGTTCAATCTAGTAAGAAGAACCACCCAGCAGCAAGGCTGATGATGGCCTTTAAGGAACTAGACCTAGATGTTCATCACGCTAGTGTGTCGGTGGTGAACGATTTGATGATCCAGCAAGCCACAGTGAATATGGGGAGCCGATTTTACACGAAAGAACAGCTTAGGGTTGCATTGACATCAAAAGTTGGTGAAAATCAATAAATTATGTAGCGGTGTCTAGCTCTGTACTATATTTGATTTTGAACTGTGTTTTATTATTTTTTAGATCTTTTTAAGCGTAGAAATTTGAAAGGCTGGGCTAATTCAGCTTTCCATTTTTCTTTTGCCTTCTCTAGTTTTGTGGTTAGTATCCAGCTTCTGTGTACACATGTGTAAAACCCAATAAAAATTTTTGGGCTCGTATTTATGTTATTAGACATGCTAAACTGTTCTTGTTTGTAAGATTGGATCTATTGAATCTTTCAGTATTCCCTGCTTGTGATTTTTGGTGGTTGATTAGCTCAATGATCTAAGGTATTGTTACCACTTTAACTAAAAGCTTATACCTAATATCAAAGATCCAATCCACCCTATATAATCTAAAATCAAAGTTTGATAATCTACTCCAAGCAGTGTACTTTTGGCCACCCCACCTTCATTCCAAGCATGCTTGTGAGTTATACACCCATGCAATCAAATGAAAAGCATGGACACGAATATGGGATTTCTTTCTCATGTTCGGTATTGTCACAATTTTGTCCAAAAGCTATAGATTATGGCAGATGTACAGTCCATCCCATATCAATAAGAATTAAGCTCAGGAATACACTCCAAGCCCATATGCTTTAAGCTCAGTTCCGTTTCAAGCATGCTCTGCCGTTATAAAGCCAAAATACTGAAAGCTCTATTGGTATTTGATTAATGTGAGATTTTTTTGATTAGTTCTACAGAATGAGAAAAATGCAAGTAAATGTCCCCCACATAAATGGCCTATCTAAAGCAAAATACTATTTGAGCACATTTATGAAAATCTGCCAAGGTATGGCTGTGGTTTCTTGGCTTTTTGCATGAATCACTGTCAAGTGTCAACTTGTAAGATCTGCATCATATCAATGGATTCTTGTTCGTTTATGATGTTTGTGGGTTTAATTTTTAATCACGACGAGATGCTTGAATAATATTTGTCCCAATGTCGTATATTTGTGCAATGAACCTGTCCTTTTTATGCATCTTAATCTTCAGTGTAGTGTCTTATCTAGAACATTGGAAAAGCCATTTTTTTTAAACGTGATTTGACTGACGTTATTCAAGAAATGTTTTTGTTGACCTCAAAAAATGACTCAAACATATGGTCTTTTTCGGTGGGGTGAAAGCGATCGTAAGCATTCCAACGGTTAAGTTAGTGAGTTGGTAGACAGAATATGAGACGTCCGACTGTGATGTTCACCGGAATGTAATGTGGTTTTTTAGTGGTGATGAGCTTATGGGTAGTGACAATATAAAAATTGTGCTTTTTCTATCTTTTCAGGGACAAACCCCTTCTATAGTGCAGGTGTGGGTATTTATAATGAGAAGAGAATAAGAGAAGAATCTTTGGATGTGGAACATGTGTGTAACGGATCGAAAGGTGATGACTTGAAATCTAACATGGCACGAGGATGTCATGTCACTAAGTGAGAAAATGAAGTAGACCCATGGTTAATTAGGTCTAAATTTCAAAGGTACTGGCGATGCCGGTGTCACCTAAATTGGTGGGGAAATGACTGATGTTCATGGTGGCAGGTTCATGTCCAGGTCGTGTCTGGGAAATTCGGGTGTGCAGGCAGGCATGGCGACACGACTGTAACCCAGGCAGGCATCACAGGCAGCACCCAAGATGCAGTCAGGATATGGCCAGACATAGACTGTAGCCATGTCAGGACACAAGCAGCACAACAACACACAGATTGCAGGCTGACATAGGCAGTTTTTCCAGTACATCAAAGTGGTTTTTTATGGAGAAATATCATGGATTGTAAGCTGGATATTTTGGGACATCTAGTTCAAGTTGGTCACTGCCTCTTGTAAGAGAAATTGCCAAGAAGGAAGCAAAAACCAATTTTGCCACTATGAAAGGGACATGTCTAGTGCATGTGGGAATCGTAGAGTCATGCCACTTGCCTTGAAGCAAATTCCAACTTTGCTTTCTCATGGTCTTAGGAGGTTTAAGGCCACTTGCATCCAATGAGGACTCTTGGATGAAAATTAATCTTGACCATTGATTCCAAGACACTTGCTAGAATTTTGCCTATAAATTGAGATGTAGTCCATTTGTAAATTAATTCATTGGAGTGAAATCATTTTATATAACAAGAGAATTTTCTTCAACATTACTTGTTTCCATATTTTCCTTCAAATCCTCTATTCAAAGTTGTAGTAATTTAGCCTACTTGGTTAGATTATTCATGTGTGTTGAAAGACTGACTTAATGTTTTCTCGGGAGGGACGAGAATTGTGAACGTTAAGGCCGCACGGTGTCTACTTGTTCGAGTGTAGGAAAACTAGGCCCGTGATAGGTGGTATCAGAGCCTCGTTGGTAGGCTGTTATCATGGCTGATTCTCAACAAACTGTTGAGGTTGAGAAAAGGGGTTGTGGTATTGCCCCAATTGAAGCAAAGAAGGCACGGAGCAAAAGTAAGATTCGGGAAGCAATTACCATGGAGGGTAAGGTTGACCAACTCTTCGCAAATATGGGTGATCGGGTCGAATCTCTTGAAAACTCCATGGAGGCATTGGAGGAACACTCCATTGGAAAGTTAGAAACTCTCCAATCTAATGTCCTGATGGACATGCAAGCATCGTTGGATAATGATGTCTAAACAATGAAAGGTGATGTCCAGGTTGTGGTAGCCTGACAAGTTGTAATGACGGAAGAGTTTGGTAGACTCCAAGCCAAAGTATTAGATGCCGTCTCCGCCATGCAAGGTCAAGGATACCAATCGTTCGTGATGATGGAAAAATGAGCAAGGAGCTAGATCAATACAAACAATCTACCGCTAGTTCAAACGGAGGTGCCGCTACTAGTATTGTTGCCCTGAGGATCAAGTACCTGAAGCCTAAAAATTATGATGGGCGACGGGATGCCAAGGAGGTGGAAAATTTCCTATGGCAAATGAAGGTTTACTTTGAAGGCGTTAATATTATAGATGAATCCATGAAGGTGTGGACTGCTTCAATGTATTTCTCGGATGTTGCGACATTGTGGTGGCGTCGTAAGCATGGCAAAATTGCAAGGGGAGTTTGTAAAATCGACACGTAGGACGAGTTCAAAAGGGAGCTAAAAAGGCAATTTTACCCAGATAACATCATCTATGAAGCTCGCAAGAAGTTGAGAATGTTGAAACATACGGGAACAATTCGTGACTATGTCAAAGAGTTCACGACCCTTGTGCTTCAAATCCCAAGCATGCCGGAGAAGGACTCACTATTCTATTTCCTAGATGGATGTGCTAGTTGGATGCAACGTAAGTTGCCAAGACCCTTATGCTTCAAATCCCAAGCATGCCGGAGGAAGACTTGCTATTCTATTTCCTAGACGAATGTGCTAGTTGGGTGCGACATGAGTTGCAACGTCGCGGAGTCAAAACCGGGGATGAAGCTATTACAGTAGCCGAATCCTTGACCGAGTTTGAGGAAAGTGCCGAGTCAGAACCTAAAACCACCAAACCCGCTAAAGGGAATTTTGGTGAATATGGTGAAGACTCCAGGAAGGCCATGCAAGGGGGTAAGACAGAATGGAGGCAAAATTCTAAAGTTGATTATAGACCAGGCGGCAACACTCAACCTTCTTGGAGGAAGGAGTATACTGAAAAGAAGAGGGATAATTTTACACATCGTTGTTGCTTTCTTTGTAAAGGACCACATCTTATGAGGGATTGTCCTAAGCAAGGATCATTGGCATCCATCTCGGCAAGCAAATCGGAGATCATAGATAGCAAAGATGAGGATGAAGTTCAGATGAATTCATTCCAGTTGTTTAATGCTATGAGTACCGAAGACATTTCCGTAGGGACGGAAACATAGCACCTTTCAGGGATGAGGTTAGCTGAAGTCTTTGAGGATGATAAAGACGTGATGCCTACGGAGTTACCGAGGGAGCTACCGAAGGAGAAAATTAATGAATCTTTGTCAAAGGATTCAGAAAATGGGAGCATTGATGTTCAAGTATTTGATAAACGTAGGGACGTTGCGACTGGAGGATTCATCCATCCAAGGAACCAAAGCAGTGATGCTGAGGGTGAAGGTTGGTGTCGAAAATGGCATGTATAAGGTTGCAACGGGAAGAAGTGCATGGGGCATTGTGGTCACCCGTCCATCGAGGGGATGGTGCCACAAGAAGAAAGAACATTCAAACCCATTGACGGGGAGGACAATGCAAGGCGTGATGCGCATAATGAAGTGCCAAATGCGTTCCGCAACGAGGACGTTAGCGGATTTGGTGGGCGGAGAGTGTGACAGATCGCACGGTGATGACTTGAAATCTAACATGGCACGGGGATGTCATAGCACTAAGTTGGTAAATGAAGTATACTCATGGTTAATTAGGTCTAAGTTTCAAAGGTACATGGCGAAGCTGGTGTCACCTAAATTGGTGGGGAATGACTGATGTCCATGGTGGCAGGTTCATGTTCAGGTCGTGTCTGAGAAATTCGGGTGTACAGGTAGGCATGGCGACACGGTTGCAACACAGGCAGACATCGCAGGCAGCACCCAGGATGCAGTCAGGACATGGCCAAACACAGACAGAATCATGTCAGGACACAAGCAGTACATCAACACAGATTGCGGCTGCATGATATGGGCATGACGGGCAATTTTTTCAGCACATCAAAGTGGTTTTCTAGGGAGAAATACCATGGGCTGTAAGCTGGATATTTCAGAACATCTAGTTCAAGTTGTTCACTTATGCCTCTTGTAAGAGAAAATGCAAAGGAGGAAGCAAAAGCTAATTCATGCCACTTACCTTGAAGCAAATTCCAACTTTGCTTCCTCATGGTTTTAGGAGGTTTAAAACCACTTGTATCGAATGAGGACCCTTGGATGAAGATTGATCTTGGCCATTCATTCCAAGAAACTTGCTAGAATTTTAACTATAAATAGAGATGTAGTCCATTTGTAAATTAATTCATTGGAGTGAAATCATTTTATATAACAAGAGAGATTTCCCCAACATTACTTGTTTC